CCCCAAAACCCCAAAACCCCAAAACCCCAAAACCCCTTTGTTTAATAAAGATGTTGAAACAATATAATTATTGTCATTACCATAATTTTCTTCTGTACGTCTTGCCAGCCTTCCTCGATAGATGGTTTACTAATAGACTTTGCTTAATGTTATTTTTTCTTTCCTTGGAAGTTTTGGCTGCATTTGTTTTTATTGGAGCGCATGTATTCTATTTTTGTTATTAACATATTGCCTTTCTCTTAAAAAATTGAAAAATTACTGTAATAGATTTATGCTTTATTGTTAAATCAGAATTTTGAAAAGGCATTCCAAATAAAGTCTGCTCTCTGCAATCAAATTACCAAATTTAAAAGTCACTTTGAAATTAAGTAGGTGAATATAAAATATCGTAAATAAACCTCTTCTCATCCAAAACAACTATTTTAAAATTGGAGACTAGCAGCAGTTCTAATTATTGGCTTAATTGGCTATTAGCTTAGAAAATTATTTTCATTAGCCAGATATCTGCTTTATTAAAATATGGTTAGAATCCTACTTGGACAGACTTGACCTTAAACATAAATATTTTATGATTATCTTACTAAAACTACAAGTATTATTAATCATTTCTTTAAAAATGATCTTCACAGTAGTGCAAAGCCTTTCAAAATGTTATTCCTAATCCTAAAGGCATGAACTCCACTAAAATCTATTGCAAGTAATCAAGTAAGTCTTTTAGTGAATTACTAGTGTTTGTGTCCAAATGACAACTTTAATTCACCTAAATTATTTGCTATTATTTCTAGCAAAAATAACCTAACTGTAAATATGTATATAAAAAGAGCTAACTGATTCGAAATGGTTGCGCCATGATTGGAAATAATTTAGATACATTTTCGTCTAGCTCTTTCAACATTCTTTCTAATCTTAGCTATTGTTTAATACAGTCCAGGCTAAAGAAAAGTTTTATTCATTAAAACGTACATGCCAAAGAATTTATTAAACAAGCAGTGAGCTTAGACCAGGATCTAGCCTTCTTTAATATTTTACTTTATGGACTAGCTAGGTTAAAAATTTATCGTAAGACAAATTGTAATACGGAGAGTTAAATTCAAAGGGAAGACTGTGTCCTCTCTGTAAATCTAAGAACTATCTTTGTCTTTACAATCTAATTCAAATGAAGCGAAGCATCCAGAATGCCTAATAGTCAGCAAATTAAGTCATAAATTATTAATGCTCAAAGCTCCTAACGTTCGTCTAACATGGAAGACTTGAAAAGCATATGTTTGCTATAAACATAAAGGATAGCCGGAATATGTGACTAACCACTAATTGAATTGATTTGGCACTGGTTCAGTCATGGTTAATTAATAGCCTTTTAACTAAAAGTCGCATTTCTTGTTAAATACACAGTATTTGTTCTGTTTTGCCGCTTGTTTATCTTTGTTAAACTTTATTGACTAATCAAGTTTAAATAAAAGTAATACTGTGCTAAGCAGCCATTGATTCTTAAATATTCTAATTAATTCGCCTAGTAAACTCAGAAGGGATTCCTCTATATCGAAAATTGAACTTTGGTTATTTTTGGTGTTTGATGTATTCTTGAGAGAAGCTCCGGAAGGTTTAATTAATTTACTTCTATAAAACTGAGTACTTTATTTGTATTTCCATACTTTCTTTTCTATTGAAAATCTATGAAAGCTAACAATTAAATTTCGAGTACTTCAATAAAATATCAGTTCTGTTTAAAGTGTTGAGCTAGATCTGAAGTATATTATTACCATTATTAAGTTTCTATACATTCTAAGAAGAACTAAAAGATTCTCTAAAGAAACAGAAGCACTTTTCCATGCATTAGTAATGGTTAGAAAAAGCTTTAATCGGAACTCTCAGACTAGTTACACATGATTTAACTTGTAAGAGTGCTGACTAGTATGGTTAAAGATTATGCAATATTCTAAATTTTCTTTCTAGGGTTCTAGAGCTCAATAAAACAGGGATTAATCATCAAAGAAATGGGTTAGTACTTTAGCCTTAACCAATTTTTATAGCAAGACGGCTTTTAATCATTCTAATAACAAGTCTTCTTTGACCTTGGTATGTTCTTACTTTGTTTTCTTTGATGGCTTTATTATTAGCCTGCCCTCTATTAGTCTTCTTAACCTTGCCGGTGGATGCTTCACAGCCCATGATGAAATTTATTAAATATTGATAACTTTATTGTTCTATATATATAGTTTTCTAGGGGTTTTGGGGTTTTGGGGTTTTGGGGTTTTGGGG